GTTTCTTCTCCTTCACTCTTGGCAGCAGACTAGCTAAGCCTGAAAGAGGGGACACTGTGCTTGTGGTCTGCCACTAGAACTCTTCTATACCTGAGCTTCTCACCCAAGTCACCATTATGCAGTTGGAAGGCTCTGGGCTCAGGAGATAACATATGATAACCACTCCTGAGGACAGCGCTGGAGGGCATTTTGCACTTAAAGCATCATCAGGTATCTTGGAGGGAATAAAGTTTCTGTGAATTGGGGTCAAAGAAACCATCCAGGTTTTGAAACTGAACAGCCAGGAGCAAGTAGATGAGAGAACGGGTGGGTGTTAAAATAGCCTCAGGACATTTATCTCCTCAGGACATTCATGCAATATATTTGATTTCCAAGTACTTAAAGCAATATACTGATAATTAAATTTGTGCAAAGCAGTATTACAAATGCTAATGAAATTTCCAAAACCTAGCAAATTGGCAGAGGAATTTCTTTTGAAGCTTAGAATATGAAATCCTAGTCAAGCTCACACAGAGAAAAGACCGGGCTTGTCATTTAATGTAGTGCTCTTACTTTATGAGGGAAATGAGTGGTGTTCCTCTATGGGCTCAAGGTTTGTTGTCTACACATAAACATGCTTTTGTTGTGGATCATAAAGGACTTCTAGTGCAAGAGTGTGGTGGGGTCCCTAATTCCACAGTTAAACAATCACTTCAAGGTAATGTAAATACAGGCTGCTGTTGGAAGGGATAATCTACTGGTTTTAGCACCCTGGATATGCATTCCCAGCCAGCATAGTAACCAAACCAGGGATCTCTTCTATTTATACTTAAATGGGATCACGGAAAAAGTGGAGACAGACTTGTCCTTTGTGTTGGCAGCCCACGCCTTGGCTTAAAATTAGGAAGGAATCACAGATTTTATAAAGAGACTAATATAAAATAAAACCCAGTTTAGAACAGACTGTTTCCTATATAAAAATATTTGGTCTGAAACAAGTAAAATCTCACCAGAACACACTGACAGCTCTCTGTAGTGCAGGCTTTACCCTGGGGAAACAGCTCCTTAGATAAAACACCCTCTGAGCACAACCAGAAGACAGACTGATGCACAGGCAAATAAGCACACAGGTTATTAACCATAAAACCTGGAAAAGAGGGACACGGGGAACGAACAGGTATTTCAGTTATTCTGAAACCTTGTTAATATTTACCAAGAGAGAAAAACCTCAGTGACCACCAAGGCTGAATCAACACTAGCAATGGTCATTCTGTAGTAAGTATTGTGTATTTGATATTTGAGCATTTTTGACATCTCAGGGAATGTTGGGATGTTTTTCTGATTCTGAAGAGAGCCTTTGGGGTGCTTTTTGTGTAGTGCACTGAAAGGTTCCCACAGCAACTCCACCTCCTTTAGTGCTCTGTCTCGAAAAGCAGGGAAGATTTTTCAGACATGAATCCTGACATAATACAGTAATTCAAAGACTGCTAAGCAGTTTTCAGTGGTAAGAAATAAGTTAGTCAGGAATCCAAAGCACGGGCACATTGTGCTAAACTTACAGCTGCTTTAATGTCATTTTCTGGTGTAACAGAAGCAGAGAGCCAGATCTAATAATTTTTCCTTTGTGCTCGAGATATGGAAACGATGCACAAGCTTTCTTGTTTGACTGAGCTGATCCTTCTTTAGAAGTCATTTCCATATAGATTATTCCCTGCTTTCTTTCTTTATATCAGACTTTCCCTTACTTCTTTTGAAGAATGACCTCAGGCTTGTTCCTCTCTTAGAAGTCTAGAACTCCATATGACACCAAGAGGTGGAACTGGAGGTATTAGTGGAGATGTTCGTAGAAGCACACCAAAAAATACTGACACCATTACCAATGCTGGAGGCATGCTCCTAAGGCCCTGTTCACATACTAGTAACCATCAAACACTTCCTTATGGAATTACTCTCAACCACAAGCCATTTAAATAACCATCCAAATCCAGCTGCTAACAGGAACTATTTTCCTCCTTCATTGAGACCACTTGTGTCTGGGATAACCTCTACAGACACCAGGAACTACCTGAACAAAGGAGCACGGTCTCCTCCAAGAAGAGGTCAAACTGAACAACAGGATGTTCTGATGAAACTACAAGCTGCTAGGAGTGGCTGTGATCCAAGCCTTTGGTGGACAGTAGGTAAGAAAAGAAGTGCTGGAAAATCCACGAAGAAAGGAGGTATGAAGGTAGCACAGAGCTGACAATGCTGTTTTCTACCGACATCAGCACCTTTCTGAAGATCAGTGACTGAAAATGATTACTACAAAATCAAGATTATCTTGGCAGGAAGTTTTTCAAAGAATTGTTGTATCCACGTAAAGTCACAGAGGACATCTGTATTACAGTCACTGAAGCAACTTAAAACTTTATGGACTTTATTTATATTTTAATTTATTCTATTACCTTCATTTACATGATCATCTTCACCTGTTGAACCTCCATTTGGCCTCTGTGATTGGTACATTCATTACCTTGGGCTCAGCTACTGTACTTTTTTTATTAGAAAAACTAGTTTTCTGCCAGAATTGTGTAGACAAAAAATGCCATTGAAGCCACTGATTCCCAGTGTGAACAGAGTGATTCTGCAGAAAAATACAAATGCCACCTACTAAAAACGGAGCCTTATAGGAAAAGGAAATCTCTGTGTTAAACTCATTGCCCTGGAACTTGACCACAGAATATTTTAAAAAACCTTGATTTTTACACACTTCAGGGTAAAACAATGCAGCTTACTTATTTAATCTAGTTACCACTAAAAATAATTGATGCTGTGAGAAATAACTTTATGATTCATATGGGTTTTTTTCTGTGAAAGACATATTAAAGTCATAAATATGGTATAACATTTTTCGCAAGTACGGATGGGCGATTAATCCCTGCAGCTCTCTGCCACTGGTTCTGTTTGCTCCACTTTAGAAATTAGAAACCTGATATGGGAATGAAAATATTCTTTTGCAAAAGTCTGTTTCTCTTGCTGCTGATAAAGTTCTCTCTCACATGCTTTGATCAACAGAACATTAAGCTAAATGAGGAGTTTATAAGTCTCTTCCACACTATTAAAAATAGGAAGAATATTATGATACAAAAATTAGCAGGTAGAGAACATGAATGACACCCAACAGAAGTGTCAGATATGAACTGTCTCTGTGCCAATTTTTAGCATAATCCTGCCTGTAAGTTTTTGCTTTTGTGCCATGTTTGGAAGCTCAATGTTTTATTCTTCCAGTTGCATTAAACTGTGACAATGAGAGATATATAGATTTATTTTTAATAGCATTCAGCCTGCCCAGCAGTCATTTAGCTGGAAATGCCATTGCTTTAAGGCAGAGCTTCCTGACCTAGTTTGTACAGGCGCTGTCATCACAAGAAGAGATGGCACCGCACCATGTCAGTATCAGCAGTGGCAGCAGCAGCTTCTGGCCAAGTGCAAGGCTGCACACACACACTGTAGGAGATGTGATTCTAGCCCTAGAATTCCTCTAAGAAGTCCTCTGCCGGCCTTTGTACACAAGGTGGAGGAGGAAGAGGTATTTGGTCATTGCCTGTACCCTCTGGGATTGTTTTGAAATTGCTCCCACCACACACACCTTACCTGCAGGGTACCTGCTTTAGGACTGAATTGGAATCATTCACAGATTTCAAAGCAAAGGCCAGTGAAAGCATCAATACATACTTAACGTCTGCATATGAGGAAAAACAGAGATACAGAAAAGTTAAGGCCAACACCTTTAAAAGCATTAGTGCCTAAGTCTCACTGAAATAAATCTAAGCTATGGACATCTGTGCTCAGGTGACTTAAATGGAAACTCTGTTCCACTCATTCTGAGCTCCATCTCACTTCCTGAGGCCATACCTGTCCCTCCAGCACTAGTGACTGTTGTTCAGTGTACAGAAATGCATGACATACTTTCTGAACTTCTACTTTTAGCAGACTGAAACCTCCTTTAATGTTCAGAAATATTTCCAGTTCTTAGAGCGAACCAGTAGATGATTGCCAATGACAGAGTCTCATAAGGTTTTGAAAAGCAGACTTTATTTAATAGGCACATCATTGCTTTAATAGCACTGGGCTGCACAGCTCACTTCACCATTTGTAAATGGTTTTGTTGGGTTACATTGCATTTCCTCAGTGTCAGTAGGATTCAAGTAAAAAAGTTACTGCTTTACTTCTCTATCATTTCTCAAGATGGAAAAAACCAGTTACAACAACTAGCACACAGGAGCATGATACAGACAGAACAGAACTGCCTGCGATCCGGGAGAGGTCAAGACAAACTCTAATTTGAGCACTGGACACTTAAAGCTGCAAGACAACCACGCTACGTTTGCTCAGATGGGATTCTGCATTAGGCAGGATAGAGATGCATGTTGCCCACTAATACAACAAGGGACTGGCTTTCTTATGCTGAGAAACAAAGACTGTCCAACACAGACAAGAATGAGGGTTTCAAAACAAAACAGCTCACATGAAATTGAAAACAGCTTCCTTATTACTTCTGATTATAAAAGTTGTACTCCCTCAGCTGTAAAAGTTAAAGGCTTAAAAGAAAAGTTACTGCTTACAGAACTCTAAACCTGCAATTTAATCAGTTTTTCCCCCCTATATTACAACTCCTCGTGATAAGAGAAAACCACCTCTAAGAGACAAAAACATAGTGTTCTGGATTATTTTTGTAATTAAGTCGTTTACTTGGTTGATATATTTCTTCCCTGAAAAACTGCACGTTAAAATTTTATTAAATTCCAACAGTAGAAGCATACAAAATCAGAAATCATTAGAGGAAAATAATATTGCTCTACGAAAGAAAAAAGCATGACTTCTAACATAGTTTTATGAACATCATAAAAGTAGCATATATGGCATTGAAACATTTTGAAAATGGAGAAATATTTTGTGGGTTTCAATGTTCTTAGGTTTTACATTGTATTTTGTGAATTGATATTTCCAAAGTTAATATCTTGCAGGTTGGGTTTTTTTTCTATATTTTCTAGCATTGTATAGGACAGACAACCTAAAACCAACAATGCAGAAATCTAGCGTGCTGCACACTTTAATATACACTAGTTACTTTAGTTACTAGCACTTTACACTGATGGTACCTACTGTATTTGTAAAACAAATCGTTTTTAAATCAGCTCGTCAAAGCTTTTGAGAAGCAATCTGGGCAATATGGTGGGTATTTTTAGTGTCTACCATGAATATGGCCAATTTCAGATTCAGAGGTCGCTCTCTCCATACAGTGCTGACGAAAAAGAGGTGTAATCCAGAGCCCCAGGAACAGAACCTGGGCCGGTGTACGGGGGCATTCTCTTGATGCAGTACTGGGCCTGCTCAGGAGGCAGCTCTCGACGTAACTCATCTGCCAGGATATAAGGCTGGAAGAGGGGAAAGGATTGACAAATTCAGCATGGATTCTTCAAAGACACTAAATATATTTATTTTCTGTAGCTGTGACTAATAAACTCAGACATCCTGCCTGTTTTCCTGAGACCAGATATTTTCTTTGTTAAATTCCATCCCTAATGAGGAGTTCAAGGGGACAATCCTACTAACAAACTGATCAGGTCAAAATCCAGTCTCAGGACATGTGACTGTGTATGTTAGCTACCGAGCACTGTGCAGCCATGGGTAGACTGCTACTGCTACAGCTTGCCCATGGATAGGTAGGCAGTATCTCTCAAGTGCACTACTGCCCCTTCTGCAGTGTCAGGACAGAGACATTTTCAGTTAGATCCTGTAAGTTACAAGGTCCTGTTATAGTTGTAATGAAAGATGCGTTATAGTTCTTAATGGTTTGCATTTCTGATATGAAGGATACCCTCTGTTAGCAGACTTGACATTATTTAAAATAGCAACATAATGAAAACTATTTTTCCCTGAGACCTTGGCTTTCATCTTCCACATGAATTCCTACTGAGAACATGTCTGGAATTCAAATGTAGTCCCCAGTAACTGAGGTCACAAAATCAATACAGTCAGAATGAGAAAATCAATAGAGCAAGCTTGGGCAAATAGACCTGTACTGCTGTGATCTCTCCTTTCTCCCTAGCAAAGGATTGGTTTCCTGGCAGCACTGTTTATGGCCCCGACTCCTCCAGAAGCTCTTGTGTTGCCATTATCCTCCCTCTCATCTTCATGTACCACTCACTTGCCAGTGGATCTGGCTATGGGGAGGAAAGTATGCCAAATACAGGAGCTTCCTCCGCATACCCAGTAACTAGAGGAGGCCTCCTCCTGATTCTCCTAGAACAGGGGTACACCACATTGCATCACCCTGTTGAATGAGCTGTCAGGTCACAACATACACAAATTTGGTATAGGATTGTGCAGCTGACCCAGGCTATGTTCCAGAGGGCCAAATTCTGCATTGAAACATCCAGACAACAGCATGAAAGGCAGAATGATTTCCACCCTAATCAAGGCTGTTGTGTAGAAATAACCTGATGTACAATATATCCATTATACAAACAAAGTCTTGTCTAACATGTCTAATTTTATGTTGGCTCTTTGTGATATGAGGGTACACAGACCAAGCCTTGAATTCTGCACCCATTTCAGCTGAGAGCCTTGGTTCCAAACAAGAACCAAACAAAAACCATCAAGTGCTTTCTCTTACATCTTACAAACTGAAAACAAAGCTTCACTATTACTACAACACTTGTAGAAGACTTTCAGCAAAGAAGGTCTAAATAGGAGAGCTATTGAATCCTTACAGCCAGCAGCGTGATGACTGACCTTATCTGAAGCCAGGATTCTGAAGGAAGCTATCACTTGCTCAGCTGTGTCTGTGTCTGCCGTTTCTCTGGTCATGAAGTCAATGAAGGACTGGAAAGTGACGGTTCCTTGCCCATTGGGGTCAACCAGAGACATGATTCGGGCAAACTCAGCTTCACCCTTTCACAGAATCCAAAAGAAAAAAAGAAAGTGGTCACTGTAATATCAATCGCCAACAGCCCGTGTCTCTCGTGAACCAGTTGGGACCAGTGATTACAAAGGCTTTAAAGCATCTTCCTGACTTAAGAACACAAATGTCAGAGTCAATGAAACGCCCACCCCTCTGTTGCGAAGAGGACTTGGTGCTTTTGAAAAATGTATTCTTTGTCCTAAATATATTATATGCACCTTTCAATTAACTTTCTGCAGCTTCTCACTCCCCTCACCCTCCCTCAATCCCTCTTTAACTTGTTTTAATACTTCATTTTCCACCCCATCCTAAAACCACTGTAATTTAGGTACTGCACAGGGAGGTGAAACAGTAGCCCAAGAAGCAGTGAACCTGCAGACTCACTGAACTAAGAAGCAAGGGAAACAATTCTGAAAAATTCATGACAAATACAGACAGTTCAACTAAAGCTAATCCATTTTTTCCATTAAAAAGAGGGAATATGGGGGGGAATTTTTAGAAAAAAAAAAAAAAAGTTAAGGAAAGCAAGTGCAACCCCCAAAGCTAGATTATGAGAATCAAACAGCATGAAAATCATTCTTCCTCATGCGGATTAAAAGGAGAAAAAAAAATATCATTTAATATCTGTTAATTTCAACTTTTAAAGTTTCCTTAATTAAAAGAGCAAATCAGTGGACCACAGAATATGGTTTTCAAGAGTCTAGTTTTACTTTTAACTTCCTTTTTAACCATTTGAAAATAGAGAAAAAGCAAAGAAACAAGAAACTGGTATCTCTAGTGTAAATTACATTATTAGTATTCTGACAACTTAAAAAGCTTTAGTATTGCCGTGGTTAATGTTACAAGCTGTAAGCACAAGCAGTTGCCATTGTTTCTTAAAATTCATACCAAATCGTAACCCATTGAAATTAAGCAAGCTCTGAAATCATCGTGGTCCATCAATCCATTCTTCCTCTATGGACCAAAACAACGTAAGGGACATAGAAAGGAAGGTTTGAAGAATCCAAGGTAATTTCCAGAGAGATGAGGAGTTTAGACCATTGGCATATTGGATCCAGAGTATGAACAGTATCCATTGATATTGCCCAAGCAGGTCACCAGAATCATCACCAGTTTTAAAGGAGGAAGAAGTAACTAACATATTACACACAGGAAACAGACATTGTCACCATGAAAAGTAACATCAGAAAAGGTCAGGGTAGAGATAAGGGAGAAGAGGAGGTGAATGAGACAAGAATAGAGAGAACACAACCAGAGAAGACAAAGAGAAGAGCAAGGAGAAAAGTTTGTTACTAAACTAGTCAAACTCAGGAGATGTTCAAGCTGCCTCCCTGATATGAAATATCTTTGAAAAGTTCTGCATGGGATGCTATAGTGACTAAAAGCATGGTTAAAAACAGTCTGAAACTAGCATATTACTCTTTCAAATACTCCACTCCAAGGCTAAGGTAAGTACACGGTAAGAGCTGCCTGCTGACATATGGGAAATAAGTACAGGGATTTTCCTTCTGACTGCAGGCTATCAAGACCTGGACTACAAGAGAGAGATGTGCATACTGGCTTAAAGGACAAGACTTGCAAGACTTCAAAGGAGGTCAGTTGAAGAGGAGGCTGCTTATTTTCCAGGCAATAACATATCTGTGACATTCCTGGCTAATAGCTGAGTAAACATTAAATGGCATGATAGTAAGAAGGTAAATAAACGTTTCCTCTGATTTCTGATATAATGTAGCAGTTTGGAGAGAATTGTGTCATCCTAAATCAGCAGAGAGCAGTGGAGAGCTTGTGTTGTGTCCAAGGAAAGGAAAATTAGCAAAAGTCTGAGTGCAAGAAGTATAGGAGCCCCCCATAGTTATCTAGTGTAGTCCAAATAAAACATCTCAAACCAAGTAAAAGAAACAACCTGAAAAATGCATAGAAAAATATGGCTACAAGTGATGCTGAGAGTCCATCTAATCCAGTTGCCTTCCCAGAGGCAGGATCTTTTCAAAGCATTATGACCAATACATTGAAGTTTAAACCCACAGTCTCTGGCTCTCATTATATTGGCCTATCTGAAAACATAACAATATCAGTTTCCTCTACCTGCAGGTAATTTCCAACCTGTCCTAGACTGATGAGGCAGGCTTTAAATTCATCAGAATGTAGATTGTCAGATTCATCCTAGTATCCCATCACAGGTCATGCATTTGGGAAGGTGAAAGAAAGAAAAATCACAAATCAGGTTAGTTGGTTAGTAAAGAACATTCTACTCTTATATTAATAACCATTAATAACCACAGAAGTTTTTACAGAAGTTCATGGAAATGTCATGTCAACATATTGTAATGAATTACCTAAAAGTGTACAACTTTCACAGTTTCATGCTTTAGTTCTTTCCTTAGTGGAAGAGGGTCCTTACTTCAACTACAGAGTTAGAACTCTGCTTCCTCTACAGGTGCTTTTCTAACATTTTGGCTGATAAGGCAGTTTTTATTCTGCTGAACTGCCATTTGCTTCCTTCATTTTCTATTGTCGTACAGTGTATGTGAGATGCAGTAAAAAGATCACTGAGCCTGGGCAAAACATTTTTTCCCCACTCAATTGCTGTTACTTCACTCTTGATCTCATAATATTATTTAATATACATATCTCAAAAGAGAGTAGAAGTACAAAAAAATTGATTCCTTGTCTAGATCCAAAATAAATTTGTAACTGACAGAACTTATTTTCGGTTATCTGTCTTCTTTAATAATCTATACAGTAAGTTTTTGCTTTGAAATCTGACTTTTAAAAAGTCCCACTGAACTCCAGGTTAAATGGCTCCTAGGAACACCACATCAATCTGGTTCATTGTTTTGAAACAATATTTTTTTCCATTTTGCAGGTCAAAAAATTCACACTAACTTCTTAAAAACAGACTGGCTCATCTTTTTCTTCCTGTTCATACTAAATGTGTCCTATCAGAGGTGTACTTCAGATTGAGTTAACATGAATACAATTAAAGAGATGTTCTAAGATGAAAAATTACTGCCCTTACTGATTTTACTGACTGACAGTTTGGAGAAGATCCAAGGTTTTCCATCTGCTGGATATTTGCCTGCTGGATGAATAATTTATTTTTGAAAATTTCTATATAGTTATGCATAACTAAAATTATAGGAGTTTTAACAAATGCACTGGGTTTATACTAATAGGATAAAGTGGTGCTTTATTAAGTTCATAACACCATGCATTTTTGACAAATCATGCTGTTATTATATTGACTCTTTCTGCATCAACCTCCACCAGCTCCATAAAGGGAAAATGAAAAATAAAAGTGGGAAATCAATGACGAGAGAAAAAGCAAATCTGTGAATCTGGAGCACCATTTAATTAAAAGCCATAATCACAGTCAAGTTTTTTTCCTTTAGTATTTCAATTTTATAGGATAATTCCTGTCATAAAGGGTTCAAAATTGTTTATTTTATCATTCTGAAAATGTTAATCTAGGCTGGCTTGAAACTCTCAGAAACTGTCCTGGAGACAGGCTACGGCAGGTCTCACCAGGACTGAAGTCAGCTCATTTTACCTTACTTCTAAAGCCAAAGATATTACTGAGTGACTGCAAACAAAATGATACAAAAGTGGGAGCTAAGAGCCAAATCCTGTCCCCCCACCTCCTCTGCCAGGTGTGGGTGGAGGACTATTAGCTACTTGAAGACACGAGGGGGGTGGGTGGTCAGTATATGCCTGAGCTCCCTAAGCAGGAACCCATGGCAGCAGTAGTCGGGCACCATGTAGCGAAGGGCAGACGGGAGTGAGAGAGACCAGCACATCTACCAAGAGAGCATTTGCTTTTGGAGAGGAGTGCAATGGTTGTGCTGGAGCTCACACCTGTCATCTGGTTAAGTGGGACTCCTCAGTGAGGATCCAAGTAGTTGTGCCACATGCTATAGCAGGTTCTCACATTCTCGTAGTGAATTTTTTTAATCTGCATCATATATGGCTTAAAAAGGCATCTTTGCCTCTGCAGTATAGCAGAGTTTCATGGGAAACAATGGTATTTTGCAATCATACATAGATCAAGCCCATACAAGGGCATTCTCATTGGGAAATAGTTCTTTGTATTTATTTTTATTGTTTGCAGATCAACATTAAGCACTGAAGTCAGCTTTTTGAAGCATATAAATACCTTTTCCTTGTTCATCTTTTCCTGCCAATACAAAGTAAAACACTGAAATCCTCCTCCATGTTTCATTATTAGTCCCCAGAAATCTTTCCCTTCCCCTTTGTGATTTATATGTGGCCTTATAAAACAAGGGAGCTTCTGAGTCAAAGTAATCCACTCTTAAATAGGTCTTTCAGTTTCCTGAATGCTAATTGACCTGCATAAGCCTGATCATGTGGTTCCTTTAACAGGGAGCTGTTGTTTTTCTGTTAGTAAAATACAGGGTGGCATGATGCTATTGTTCTGTGTGCAGAGCTCCTACTTAAAATCTGAAGTATGCAGAAAAATCAATAGTAGAATATGTTAACAGCCATTAGGGTATTACATGCAGAGCAGCTGCAGATATTTTATCACATACTCTGCAATCTTATTTAGAATTTCCTATATATAGTGAATCTGAAAAAGTAATCCCTGCATAAAAATACTTCAAAACCAATGACTGGCAACTTATCTTTGTTGGTGTCCCAAGTTGTCTGCATACCATAAATCAGCTATGCACCATTTTGAACACTTCTAAACTGCTTCTGTGATTCAGACGTTGCGTCCCACTTTCTCTTTTTTCCTCCATGCAGTCACATTAAGGAAGGAAATATACCAGCATTGCTAAAGATTTATATTTATGCCTACAACTAGACTGTGCCTTGAGGCACAGCCTCCAGCAAGGAGCAGTGGGTAAGCAGCAGCATCCTCAGGAATAACCTCTGGGGTACCAGTGTGTGTACATGGCTGTTGGAGACACAAGAGCCTAGAGGGCTACCCCCTTGCCCCAAGGGAGTTAGCGTATTTACCACTTGCCTTTAACAAGGGAGATATGTAATACTTTCTGTGCTAGAACATCTTTGCTGGTGGATGCACTGAAAAAAACACAACTCTTCCTGCCCTTGTAATTTTTATATTCATGGTTCTCACTTACTCACTGTAGTTTGAGAATCAGGGGCACATAGCCCCAAAAAAACCCTCTTGTAAAATACCAAATACTTTTCTTTCAAATATTCAATATATAGAAGCCATTTAAAACAATTTGCTCAAATATTTAGCTCTCTTTCAAAGCACTAACAACTGCAAAATTAAGCCTTATAATGTATTATGAACTGTAAGATTTTTTTTTATATATATATATTCTTCCTGTGGAGGAGGATAGGGGTTCCTTCCTCAGATTTATAAGCAAAGGAAGTTGTTTCTAGAAGCACTCCATAAAACTTCCTAGCTTTATGTGTACCAAAATATATTCTTCAAAATGGGGAAGAGAGCTGCTCTGCATGACAGTACTTTGCTGACATCCTCAACACACACTAAGAGTCAAGCATTAAGATGTGTCTTAAATTGGAGAAATGCCACAGAAATCAGAGCTATGATTCTATGATTCTATAGCATGCATAAATGATTCTGTTGTGCTTAGGTATTTAAAGCCTACCAGTCAGGGACAGTATTAGTTTTTGGGATCTTTTCTGGTTATTCATCATTGTGAACAGTAGTCCAATTTTTTCAGTGTATTTTTTAAAATATGTCAGGCATTCAGAAATGCTTCTAAGCACAACACAATTATTACATATACTACTAATTCTGTCTGACATGGAGAAGCCAGTATTTTTCATGTTAGTGCTTACATTCAGATGATCCAGTTTAATCTTCATTTTTATTTAAGGTAATTAAACCATAAAAGAATCCATTACTGCCTTCTCTATCTAAATTCCAAGTTCCGAGTCTTCATTATTTTGTGTACCCTGAAGTCACTCTGAAGCACTCTGGGTTTCCTTTATTCACCAGCACTAAATATTTGAGTGTGCAAGGACAAAGGAAGGATATAAAAATGAAAAACAAGCCTGCCTTTCTCCAAAATGTTTGTTCAATGTCTCCTTCTAGCCTGCATAGATTGGGTCACATCTACACATTAAATTACAGTGTAATTTAATCAATATAAGCTTCACTTTTATCAGTGTTTCTACTATCTGTCCCCTGCAGAAAGCCTGGCTTGATGGCTGAGTGGTTTTAGATCTTAACCTTCTTCCTTTCTGTAACTTGCATCATGCTACTAAGAACATAGTTGTTGCACTGTGTCAGTGCAGAAGTCCTCCCGGAACAATTTCCCATGTCTGGTGCTAAGGGAAGGAGCATACTAAAGGGTGCATGTTCAAAATGGTCCTTTCTTTAATGTCATCCTTCCAGGCCTCTTTTTTAAGGCCTTTAGGTTGTATCTGTCATGGGGAAGGTAAGGTCTGCAGCTAAACATGCAGTCCAGGCCCAGGCCGTTGAGGCCATAGAAACTGATGAAGCATCTATCTCCTCCTGCTTCTGACCTGGCCAGTCAGGCTTCCTGCTACAGAAGCAAGGGCAGAAGGGACACTGCCTGAAGCTGTGACTCATTATAGCCTGAAGAGAGGAGACAGCCAGGGATAGGCAAGAATCTAAGAGCTGGGAAGCGCTTACGTTGCCCATGATTGCCATAGCCCATCTCCAACTTGCCTGCAGCTGTGTGACACCAGCGCCCTCTTCCAGGCCAAACAGCCTTTCCCAAGGCTTTGCTCCATTGTATCCTTTGGTATCTCAAAGTCTTGCTGTATCTGCAAAGCCTGAAGTTCCATAACAATGGGGCTGGTTGGTGTAGGATTTAGCTTCTCCCTTCAGGACCTTCTGAAGCACAAAGAGATGCCTGTAGTACCTCCCCAGCCACTAAACCAGCCTGGACACGAGCGTGGCAGAGAACTCATCTATGAACTACAAACATACAGGGGATGCTAGAAATGGCCATCTAGCGTAAGATATACTGGGATTCAGTCACCTTGCTTCCTTATCTTGAGGGAGCTGTCAAATCTTTGTGCAAAGTCTCTGGTTTCCCTTAACAGGGTCTTTCAAATACTGGCGTGTAATTTATCCAGGCCTGGTACTCTGTCTGCTTTTAATAGCTCTAATTGCTCAGTTATCTGCTCCAGTGCATTGGGAAAGCCATTTAGTATGCTACTTCCTTCCACCCCAGGAAATTTATCTCTGCTTCTGTGATGTTATCTTCTGCTTCCTTAGAAAATACAAAAAGGAATTATGCTGCATTAGAATCACATTAAGATTTTCCATGAAATCCGTTCCTGGTTCCTGTGTAGCTAACTTTTCCTGTGCTTGTGTGTTTCTTCAGAAAGCAGAGGTCTGGCAATTGTGCTTTTCTTTCTAAACAGTTAAGGATATTCTAAAGAATATTTAGCAGACTGAGTCTGTCAGCATCCAATGCACATCAAGTATAAGTCCAGGTATGGGTAACCATTTTAAGTAGAGCTGGACAAACAGGATGTCAGTGAAAAGAAAGTGGCATTTTGCTATAGCCTGAATTGATTTGAAGGAGCTGCTGCATGTGATAACAGCATATAAATCCAGGGTTAAGCACAGTCTGCTAACTACAGGAATCTGTACTGGGAAAAAGACAACAGCCTGGTGCTGCATTATGGTTATCCTTTTTCAGCATTTGAAATGTGAACATGGTTTTGAAGGTGGGTTCATGTGAGCACAGAGCCAGCAGTGCTAACTCATGCACAGACTGTTCTCCAACTGGGGATGTCAGATCTCTGTCTGCATCTATTTTGCTATTGCGCCTATTAATAGCTATCTTTTTAACCCTCTATCCATCAATACTGTGTACCTCACAGAAGGAGTGAGTTAAGTTTCTTCACACTGGTGTTTTCATTCCTACTTTTTTATTCATCCATGATTAGATAACCGAAAAAAAGCAGCCTCTTATTTCCCACACATAGCCAAAAAAATAAAGGATTTTCCTTGACAGCTATCAGTGCCCCACCTATATTCCCTACAAATCTATTTCTAGGGGGACAAGTTGTGATCAAAAGAAAAAAAAAACCAAAACCAACCAAAACCAAACTGTAATCCAGATTACAGCTAAATTTAATGAGATGGAAGCAGCTGGCAAGCACATAGAACATGCTGCACTGCCTTAAAATAAAGGGGCATATTATTTTCCAAAACACACTGATTTATCCAGTTCTGCCTGTTATTTGAACAAATACTCAGCCCTATTAGCAGAACTATAACTTTGCATTACATTTAAAGAATAAAAACTAGTTTTTATCATATCTGTACAATGCCATGATTTCATAAGGCTGTAAATTCTTTGTTAACTGATCTTTTTTTGCTGTTTTAAAAAGAGCCCATTGCATTTGCAGTTTTTAAAAGGCTTACATTTGGAAAGAAAAGAAACTTGCTTTTGGGAACAATAAATATTGCTAGTTGGGAAAAAGCAGGAGTACTGTACCCTGTCAAAATGATTGAATGATGCTCTGAAGTCATTCATTTGTTCCTGGGTGATACCCTTGGCATCTCTTGTGAGGATCTGAGTCTCAACCTCATTGATAGTTCGAGCAATGGTGGTAAGTAGGAGCTCCCATCCAACACGGATGTGCTATGAGAGAGAAAATATTTATTAAAGAATCAAATATATTCTTCTAAGAGTATAGAAAAGTATAGTAAGCAAAAAAACAGCTCTAAATATTTATGTGATGCCTTTTTCACATCACTAACTTTATATTATGACCAGGACCATTAAAAAGAAAAACTACTTTCAGAAAAATATGTAACTATTTTCTAAATGGGTACTTCTTCACTAAAAGTAAAAATAAGTGAAAATAAAACAAGTCTCATGAGATTATTAGAAAGTCTACCAAATTCCATCCTCTGTTGCAGTCTCTTCAGATCAGGGAAAGTAGTTCTATGGCAGAAAAGGGCAGAATAGACTAGTAAGTATGAAAGGGAGTACATGGCTTACCTCCATAGTATAGTTGGTGTGTTTGTTGTCAAACACCAGGGCTTCCTGTATAAGCTGATGATCTCCTTCCAGTTTGTCAATGTTGTGTTTATAATTAATGATATTGTGCTCATATTGCTTCAGCTGATTCATCTGGTCCTCTAAAGGCCCTGTCATTTCAATAGAGCTGCGGGCAATTTCCTGTCAAAAGAAACAAAGACAACACCCGGCCCCGCAAAGTTTAAGCTTCAGATTTGGTAGTTTGACCAAGGTTCACATAAATATGTAATATTTTCATACTAGGAAGCAATAGTAATAAAACCTTCATACAGTGGAGAATAGCAATTTTACTGTAAAAAACACATTTCAACTGAAATGTGGCACATTTATTTCTGGAATTAGTATTGAGACCCCAGTGATCCTGGTATCTTTCCTTTATAGAAAGCAGAAGCTAAATAGTAATTGTTTAGTGATTAATTTTTTCAAAGCTATGTCTCCTGCTCACCATCAAGGTACCACGTGTACGAGCTTCCACAGTTTTAAAAATCATCTTAACAGGTGCTAAATACTTCAGGATCAAACAGCTGGTGAACTATCATGGAGATTGCTGTTGTCCTGTATATAAAGTTGAGATAAAAAATTATAAACCACTTTGTTCATCAGCTTCTGCATAAGGGTTGGACACTCACCTCCATCTTGGTCTGGATCCATGGCCCAATGACATTGGCCTGAGCAGCAAACTGGCGACGCAGGCGCTCATTGGCATGCTGGCGGGCTAGTTCCTCCTGCAAGGATTGATCCCTCTGAGGCACCAGCTGCTTCACCTGTTGCAGAGGGAAAGCACTAAATGTAAGCAGGCACAATGGAATAGTTTAAAAACAAACGGAACAAATAAGTCTACAGTTCCTAATTTTTCTTATTGGTCTGAAGGTTGATATCAGAAGGACAAGACAGAAACATGATCGCCAGTTTATTCACCAATTCTGTGCTAATGTAAGAAATTGCTAACATGGTCTTGGGCAGCCTGACCAGAGAGAAGAAATTCTCACCTCTGGCTGGAATCAAATTCAAAACAATCATTTAATTTGAACTGCTATTAGAGCAGTTACTTTGTTTTTCTTTTGAAACACAGGTCATTTTTCAATCTCTAAGTAATAGTTGGTGCAAAACATTTTATTCAAGCACAGCCATTATGATAGGATAATGAGAGACACATTCTGTCCTGTATATCTGAAGATCTCTAATACACTGCAAAAGCTTTTTTTGGCTTACCGTTCTGGATTGCCCTGGGAAATTCTGAACTTAGTCCTTATTGCCTGGTTTTTATAACCCACTGAGGGTGTGTTCTTGTCCACATAAGTTTATGTATTTGCTAAATTCATACATTCTACACAATAATTTACCTCCACCATATTATCTGCCTTGGTTCCTAATAAAATAAAGTTTCTACGATAGCTTTAGGGGCCTCTCTTTAATCCCTCCCCAATATTTTTTTAAAGTAATTTCTAATTTCAATCTAATTGGACGGAATATTAATGGTCAAAATATGCTAATTTTTTATGACATTTATGAAAAGCAGCATCTGGGTAGAAGAGACACATGAATTACTGTTTATACTGAGTGAAAGAATACAATCATTTTCTGTTCTTTTGACAGCACCCCCTGGCCCATCTGCTGGCCAGCCACCAGCTCTGCATTAGCCCCAACACATGCTTCTCTTGCCCTGCCAAAAAGAACACAGATAATATTGAGTGATGGCGAGCAAGGGATACTGTGAAGCGAGCCTAGCAAACGTAAGGGAGAGCATAAGATACTGTAGAAAGTGTATTCTGGTATCTGATGATCTAGAATAATTTACAGATTTATTGTAAAGGTCTCTGAATATTCTAAATATTCCTAAACTAGAATACTATGTTACAATGCCCTTTATGTATTTAGCATACATTACCTTTTCCCACTTGCTACGAATCTCTTCCACAGTAACAGTGCTGTAAGGATTGGTTGCGCTTATTCTCATGTTGTAACTCTGAATAACTTTTTCAACTTCATTCTGGATTGACAGTATGGCCTGTCTTTCACCATCTGCCTCTGGCAATGTAGCTTTAAATTGATCATGTGCAGAGATTAAACTCTAAAATCAGAAACAGAAAGGTAAAGCATGAAAACTTTAATGTTTCTTCAAACATCTGGAAGATCTGCTGTAAATAAGAACAGCTCCTCTCTCAGCCTCTCAAACACCCTGTCTACAGGTATCTGCAGATACAGGAAATAATACATGTAGATACATTCATGGAACAGCCCTCATTGACTTTATCAGGACCATCACTTCTTCCATGGTCTCTGGAATATGTTTTCATACCAATGAAGAACCCTATTTATAACAGAGCAGACATTCCCTATCACAAAGAAAATGTCACGACAGATATGTGGGGTTTTTTCTTACATGTGTTCTGCTCTCCAAGAAGGAAAAGCTTCCTTTCTTGTTTTCCCTATGACTGTAAGCCAAAAATACACAACCACTTACCTGAATTTCCTCTATGCTATGAACAATAAACATGTCCTGAAGGTCTTCCATAGCACCTTCCATCCAGTTGTTGAAAGGAGCAGCTCTTTTGGCAAACTCCAGGTGAAGCTGATCAATCGTTTCAAGCAATTTCTCTGTCCTCTGTACAGGTTGGGAAAGGTACATTCCTTTGTTACCAGGGCAAGACCTAACTCCACACACATACCCACCCATGCACAGAGTCATGCCTCATCTTTTCAAAAGCAACGGATTGTTGCCACCTGCTTTAAGGATTCTCACTCAAGGCAACAGGACTAATTGAAGTAAAGATACTCTCATATCCAACATGTTAAAAGGGGTGTATGCCTTTTGAAGGATAACAGGTAAAATTACTTTTTCACTACTGGTATTTTTGTTATTGTGATCTACCTGCAAATCAATTAAAATTTGCTAATCTTGTTTTAGTAATTTATTTTAAGTATAAAAAGCAAGAGTTAGACATATGTTTTCCACCTTGGCATACACGTGTATGACTTCCTGTTTTCTTAAGGAACAAGGTTTTGGAAAGTATCTCAGTGCTTTGGAATACTCACTACTAAAAAATTAACCCAGTGCTGTCCATTATCCTGTACCTCACCTGATTAAGCTCAGACAGTTATGAAAAGGTAAGCACGTAATGGGTTTTGTTTTCCTTGCTGGACATCAAATTCCCAAGGAGCGGTGCTATAAACCGCATGCCATTTGTTCCTGCTTTAGAACTGTCCTTGGCAGCTGAGCACTGTCAAGTCTGCTGTGAGCAATTCAATCTGTTTGCACATGAAACCACAGCAAAACAAAATGGAGATCTGAGGAAAGGGTTTATTGCTGTTCAGATTCCAAAATGGATGCTAAATGGCACTGTTTCCAGATCTGAAACAAATGGTTTATTCCCCCCCTCCCTGCCTCAGCTGAGCTGCTGATCATTGCTGTACGGTTTACCTCCAGTGCCTCTCTCCGTTTCTGAGTAAGTGTTCCCAGGCTGTCCCATTGGTCACATATCTTTTGGCATCTATCATTGACACTTGCAGCATCATGGTAGTCCAGCTCACTAAGAAAGAGTGAAGACAAAAATCTGTGTGACTTTCTGAAAGTCAGGAGCAGTTGCATTGTCCACTCTCTTCCACTAGCCCTCAGTAATTCTTCCCCTCTTTTTTTTGCAATATCTCTCCTCCAGGTAAGCAAGTATTGCAGTATAGACATGTGTGACCTAGATAGTCAGTATTTCAAGAAGCATGGCACAGGAACAGGATCAACCTCCACTGTTTTGAGAAAAATCAAGCATCCATCCATCACATCCAAGCATTAAAGACAAGGTGTCTAACCATCTTTGTACCAGCTATTCCTGTGGCACAAGGAATTTGATCTCCTAAAGACCAGAATGCAGCAGTCTGGGGCTTTATCAAGTATCTGAAGATTGGTACAGTTTTAAATTAATTGCCCTGAAATATACATTTTGTTTTAAATAAACCAATGATCCTTTCCAGCCTCATATAGTCTGAAATTATTTAACTGAGGAACAGACCTCAGGTTGCATTCAAAGCATAATCTCTCTCTCACAGGCCTGGCAATACTAATAGGGGCTCCCCAGACCTGGGGCACAGAGAACAATTTTCATCTTCCTCTCCAGGAACTCCTCACTGAGCTACAGCCTAGAACTGGCTGGTTCAGGGAACAGGAATCTCCAGACCAACATATGCCACCAGCACGTGTCAGTGCACTCACAAAGGAGGTAGCAGTTCACATTGCTTTTTCACCTGCCTAATAGGCTTATAGGATCCTGAGAGAAAGCAACTTACTATTCTGCCTAAGATTGGAATAACTTTTTAAGGCTCTGTCCTGAGATTCTGCACTGAGTCTGTCTCAAATCAAATTTTTTATTTCAGTGGTAGATAATCCCCTCAGTCTGCTGCAGCCATCGTGACCATAATAAAATACGTGTGTTTGGCACTTTGGAAGCTCACTTTTATTGGTGTATCATCATCATCCACTGAATTTAGCTCTTGGCTGCTCCTTGAGGACACTTTGCCCAGTACTAAACATTGCAGAGATTGTGATTATGTGGCATGGCAATGTGAAGCTACGATTTACTTTAAGGCTTGAACAAGACATTAAAAGCACATAGAATTTGTTCCCTTCTTTTGAACATTCTTCTCTAGGCAATTGGCAAGAGGAACGTACAGATCACTTCCACCAGTAACTTAGAGAATCACAGAGGAGAAAATGAGAACAGAGGTGGCTTTCCTCCATGAAGCTGCACTGTAGACCAGGGGCAATGCTCATACTTCCTCCTCTAAGCTCAGTCAGAGCAATCTGCTTCAGGATAAAGTTGAGAAGTATGTGAACCATTCTGTCTAAAAGAGGCTTCAGATGTGCTGCAATCAATCAATGGTTGACAGTGAAAAAATGGTAAAACAAGTAAAAATAAAATGCCATAACAATTTTTAAAAAATAACAAAACTAACCTAAAATTGTGAAAGTAGAACTGTTACATGTAAGGAGAGAGCTGCCAGCAAGCCATACTAAACAAGGGCTCCGTAACTCAAAAACTTGCTTCCTCCTTTAGAGGTAGTCTTTTTGTTAGTCTTCAATGGATGCAACAAAAGCCATCTACTTTTTAAGAAATTTTAAGTCAGAAGCCTGGAGTTTTGGATGAAACAGACTAAGATACATTTTGCTGCTATGAATTTTTGGCTGGAAGCTGGGTTTTTTTTCATTACAGCATACTGAGATTTTTAGATGATGTTCCTGTGTGAGTTGTGACAGCACTAACTCACAAAGTGGCTGGGATGGGATGGGGAGATTTTTATTCTGGTCTCTTTTTGCATACCAAATCTGATATACCAGAATATGGACAGGGTATTTTTCCAGATACTCCAGGTCACATCCCTGGAAGCACTGTAAATTTTTTTTTTTGCTTCAACGGATCACTTATCTCCTTTTGTTGATTAGGATAAGGGCAGGTTTCCCCATGAAAGTGAGGGACTGATTGTACAAGCTCCGATCAAAGTTCTGGAAGGTAATGTACAATGTTCCTCCACCAGCTCTGCCAGGGAGGTTCAGTCATTCACCATAAAATCTCTGCTATCCTATTTCTTCCAGGAATATGTGCTGTGGACAAATCAAAATTATCAAAATAACTTTTTAAAAGGGCACCCATGGGTCAAAAATCGTAAGTTAGATCACCAAGTGACATTACACAGTGTAGCTCCATTGCCTTTCTGGGCCCACTGTAGTTTAATTCAAGTAAGTGTATTACATGTGTGAAAGAACATTCTTCTGCTCAAAGCAGGAGGAGAGGAAGAAATAACAACTAACAGGAGATTATTTACTTGGAAATAAAACACAGGTTTACATTCCTTGTCCTATTAATTTTGTGTCTCTCTCAGCAATGAAGCTGTGAAGAGACTAGATTTTGTAAAAAGAAGTTTTGCTTATCATGCATACATAAAGTACTGCTGCACACGTGTTACAGAGCTTCCAAGAGAACTGTCATTTCTATTTATTTCATTATTTGAAATCTGCAGCCTTTGGAATTTAAAAATTGTTAAGCTATTCCTATTGATCTTACAAGTAAGTCAATCGTATCTGTAAAGAATTAAAAATTCAGTCAAATTTTGTCCTGATCCAGAGAAGGACTTAAGTATGAGATCACTTTAGGAACAGTGATAGTGTCACAAAAATAACCTGCTGAGAACATGCTTTAGCACTACTTCAGAACCAGGCTCATGTTAATCATGCACGTAAGCACAATTTGAGCCCAGGTTCCCAGAAGCAAAAAGACTCTCCAAATCAGTGTTACAGATAGTGGTGGTCTTGGCTGAAAATGAGTTGCTACAGTAGAAGTGATGGACATGCAAGAAACTACATTCCAAAAATTTTATCTTGATGATTGAAAACATTGAAATGAGCATAGAAGACCATAAATGAATATAGCATTTCATATGACAGCTCACTCAAGTTCTATTTAGCATTTGCTATGTCATAAATGGCAAATCCCATTTTAGAAATGCCAGACTTTTACCAGTTTTGTATATAGCCCTGTCCAAGCCTTGTCATGCCTCATAGCCATGGATTTCTAGGTCTATACAGGCTGGAACACAACAATCTTACAGCAGCATCCTGGTTGGAATCACCGGCTTCCACATACACATAAATCCTTTATCTAAATAGCATAAATCAACAAGCTTTTAGCAACTTTAACCTTAAGCATGCAGTGGACTGAGCTGCTGCAGCAGAAAATACCATATCAGACAGGAAACTGTAACTGGTAGAGTTCAAGGTCACACAGTAATTGTTCTCCTTTGAAATAGCAATATTAGTCAGCCAAGAGATTGTCTAAAACAGAATATGTAGGTGTACTGACTTAGAATTTAGACACAGATGATGATGATTTCTGTAAGGGCCTGATCCACTGACCAAAAAAAAAAAAAGAAAAAGAAAAAGAAAAAGAAAAAGAAAAAGAAAAAAAAAATTCCCAGATTGACTTCAATAGGCTTTGGATCAGGTGCACATTTGGATCAGAATGCACATTTCTTAACATTCAGACATTAGTCAACTCTTCTTTAAAAAAAATGAATGAAGAAATAAATTAGCATTTTCCTCCATAATTTAATTGTGTGAGGAATTATATACAAATAATTAAAATCAATATTTAAATAGAAGCTGCTCATTTGCTTGCAGCTAATAATAAAAGTCAACCTTTATGACCTTTCATTCAGCGTTCTCTAAGGGCATTAAGCCTCACTGAGCTACTGAGTCTCAGTGAAAAATCAGGCACTGATAGCCTCATTGTGTGGAGAAGCAGAGAAGTCAAAGTAGAGCATCTCTAAAAGCAATGGGGTTTCAGCACCTTTGCAGCCCAGGCCACAAATAACTTGTTTAACTTCACACAGCAAATTACTGAAACAACTGAGAAGTGGCAATCCTAAAATAGACAGGATACACTGTTCACTGGCCTCACCAGAGGTAAAGGACACAGGGTTCTAAATGCTGGTAAGCAGATGCTGTGCTATGTATACTACATTCCCAAAGTTTCTCATCACTTGTAAAGCTGAAGCTGAATTAACAATGATTAGGTGTTTCAGAAACTTTTGTTAGTATAAAGCGGAACAAATAAGTCCACAGAAGAGATCAAGGCATGACAGATGTTTCATAAGCGCCCATATTCAGGGAAGTCTCCACTCTCTGTGTTTTTCAGCCTTTTTTCACACTAACGAAAAACCAGTACTTTGCCCACTGTGCTTTACTTTTCCTCCTTTAAGTAATCTCAGAAAACAGGATTTTTTTTCTAAATCTATTTTAATTCAACAATTACTATAAGTGCTGCTGTTATCAAGTATGAACTACATTTTTAGACAACTCCGATTTTTAAATTGTTAATGAATGTGGAGCTGTTTATGAGTCATGGTCCTTCACAAAGTGAAAAAAGGGTATGTTTTTAACACTTAATTTTTGAATAGTAACTGTTTTGCCTTTTCAAGAAGGTGAGAAACTGAAACTTGAAAAGCTGAAGCCAAGGGCAGGAATCTGATAATTTTGATCTTGGCTTCTGTTTTGACCACTACCGCACATTTGTTCCTGTTGGCTTTACAGATTTATACTGCAGGTGAGCAATTAAATTATGTGCCAAATTGCTAAAATCAACTGCATCAACACTCAGGATTTCTACTGCCATAAGCGTGTCTGTCAGTCAGGGGCCTCGACTTTTCACATCCCTTACCTATGCAGCTGATGTCAACAATACAGATGTAGCCTAAATGTGTTGTAGAATTGTTCTCAGGTTTGGTTGTGTCTTCTCTGGGCATAGTATTCTGAGTGAGCAAGTGCTGGTCCTGTGGCTAAGTTGATGGAACTGTGGGTGAAAACGCTTGCTCTCCTATAGAAGAGCTTGTGTGCTTGATTGCTTGTGTGGCCCTGAGCAAGTTATTTAGTTTCCATATGCCTCACTGCCCTCTCTGTAAAATGGAGACAATTGTGCTTCGAAATAGAATATGAAGAGATTGTGAAAATAAGTATACTAGAAAAGTCAGTGTATTATCCACTCCTATAGAGATAATTTAAGGATGTGGAGTCTTTTGAAAGGACCAATATACTTGTGAGAAAATATTTGATTTTAAAGTGAAGATGCTTGATCTGTGATCTGTGTAACTGAAACTATTTTCTAAGTAAAACAATGCATAAGCAGTACCTCTCAGCAGACCATATGAACAGAGAAATAAACACCTCCAGCATTCCCATCAACACACAATAGACTTACCAGTAGAGCTAATGCTACAAGATTACTGTTAATTCAATTTTAAAATGTTTGTTTTCAAATAATTTTGGTCAGTTGAGTATCTATATTTGGTTGGGGGTTAGCAGGAGATGAGGGAAAGGTCTCAGTGACCAGCTCAGATAATATACTTATGAAGCTATCTCTGGAATTCTTACGTTGGTACCTATGACACTATCAAATTCATTGGAAAGAGTTTATCACAAAGTTAAATGTCAGCAGCTGCAAGCCTTTAAATGGAACATACTTCAGCTCCTGGGCAATGGCAGCGATCTGTTCCACCCTGTCCTGGTGAGCAGCCAAATCACTCTCAAAAGCTTCATGTTTCCTTAACATGGCGCGGACTTCTGTCAGAGAAGCAGATTCATAATCCTTCTGAAGCAAGACCTGCTCTTTGCCTGAAAGAGGAAATTAAAATACTAGTTATTTTTTACTAATTTATTGGTTGGAACAATTGCAAATTCAGTTAATTTTTTAAGCTGAGGTTTGGTGAAGATCACATGTGTGAGATGAAGTCCCACTCCCACTGAAATCAGCAGCAAATTGTCAGCACAATAATGTTACTTAGAAATATATCTTTTGAAAGATCTCTCAGTAATTCCTTGATTTTTGCATAGGTTGTTTACACTGGTCTAAAATAGCAAGTATTACATGCTTGAAAAACTGGCATGAAAATGATATATTGGCAAAAACTAGGGCTCTAAACTATTGTGATAAGTCTTTTGTAGAGTAGACTTACAAAACCAGAAATCACACTGCTATGCTCAGCTTCACTCTTACTAATGACCTGTTATTATTTTTCATGTTCTGCCTTCATTTTAAGTGGAAAATGCCAGTCTATTTACAAAAGCTTAGAGAAGCAAAGAAGAAATCAAATATTACTCCTCAGAAGCTCCTGTGTTGGGCAAGTGAATCTATACAGACAGCCCCTAAGCCCGTACAACTGCAGCTCACCACATGGCTTTACACAGCTCTGTGAATTCTTTAGGCAGGTGGGACAGTAGTTTCACTTCCCATGTACCAGCTTATGTGAAGTTTTCCCTGCATAACAGCCATAACATGTCACCATGAGTAGTTTATGCTCAGAAAATAGGCTCTCAGGGCTGATAAACACTGCAGTTTCCCTTCTAGTATCTGCTTGGCAGCCATTTACAGCCTTGTATGCTTCCAGCATCTGTGTCACGGGAAGGACTCTGCTTCACTTTCACAGTGTGAAAAGCTTCTATCTGGAAAAAGCCAGAAGCAAGGCAGAAGCAGGAAGACTACTGTCAGGACAAACAACAGGATGATAGAGCAGATCCATGTTTAATGGTCCCCAACAAAACCGTATGCCAGTGTATGATCTCTGTAGGTGTTATACCTACACGTAAGGTTAGGTTACCACTAAAAACCAGAAATATAAATGGGTTGTAATCCAGGGTATGGAGCAAAGCAGAAATGAGTCCGTTATCATGTAGTTTATGTGGACTATTCAAAACATCGTGATGGCCAAATGATAATCAACTCAGAATAACTCTGTTAATAATTTCACACTTAACCAGTGGTGTCCCTGCATTCCTGGCTGGATTGCTGGTGTACAAACACATAGGAATGCATTAACAGTAATGGCCTCTATTCAAATACTGAATATTCCCATTAAGTTTGACTCACTACCTCAAGAGTATGATTTTTGCAGTTACATTTCATCAGCAGCATGCCTACAAGGATCATGACTATAGTCAACAAAACCTGCAGTTTTATCTGTTGTTATTTTAGGTTTCTAAAACTGTCCAAACTACTTACGAGTGGCAAATATTCAGCACTGACAGTTCAACCTTGAACATTAAAACATTTAAAATGCTAAAAGCCATCTCTGCTCACCATACGCCCACTGTTCATGAGTGGAAGCCTTCTGCCTAAATTTCTCAGCCAAGTGTTCAAGTCTTTCCAGTCTTCGTATTTCATTCAGCAGCCACTCTTCATAGCCTTTCTCAGCTTGTTCAAGTCTCTGCCAAGCGCCGGCAATATCCTGTGAAGAAAATACATGGGAGAGAGGGGATGAAACTATAATCTCTTCTTATCCAAATTTGCAGATTTGATTCATTCATAGTTTTGCTCCAAAAAGAGAAGTTTTTATGTCCAGATTTTGTAAAATCACAGAATCATAGAAAATGTTGTCAGGCAGCTCAGTAAGTCTTGTAGTCCAGACATCTGCTCCTAGTAGCACATCCTGCTCAGGTGGGTTCATGAAAGGAACACCCATACAAATGGCTTCCAAGCATAACTACACATTTAGCGTCTTCACGATGCACTGCTTTTACCTCCCATTTTACAATGTGCATGTTCTTTTACGACTCACCTATCTGTTATCAAAATAAAAGTGCTTTGCTCTTAAAAGTTGGCAATAGCAAAATAATTTTAGTATCAAGGGGATTTGGTGCACCTTTCATCTGGAATACAAATTAATTCCACTTTCTGTGGTGCACAAAGTTTTGTGAGCTTTTTCGGAAACTCAAAGGCATGGGTAGAAAACAGAAGCAACAGAGCTTTCATTTTCTGTATATGGGGAGTGGACAATGGCCCTTTTCAGATAGTGCAATTGTCTGTTTATCACATCTGAGCAGCCAAAACACAGAACAAAGAACAGAAACAGGTTTGCTGTATTCCACAGGAAATGTTTTGACCCACAGTCAACTCACAATACTTATCAGCAGATGATAGTTCATCGAACTGACTATTCTTATCTTCACAGACATAAGAAAAAAAAACCATTTAATTTGAAAAAGCAGAAAAAGCAGAAACATATATTGAGCAATGTCTGTTCTGTAAGTCTGATGACCAAAATGTCAGTGAAACCTCTGTGAGTTTTGCTTAAATAAACAATATTTGGCCTCACTGATAGAGAAGTATTGATAACACTCCCAAAGGAAGCTCTGTATCATCTCACGTCTCAAGACAACTTGCTCTTGTGGAAAGCCTTCAAAGAGGCAGGAGCATGCTTAAGAGAAAGCAAGATTCTAGAATTAAAGAGAATGTGTAAAAAGAGTGGCTTGATATTGATAAATAGCAAAAAACTGAAGTTTCTGAGGAAGACTTAAAATAACATTTCAGTCCTGCACATTGAATTTTTTTGTGAGAATGTTGATAAAAAATAGAACAGAATAGTGAGGCCTCCTTTACTTACTGAAACCATTTTTCCCTCTGATGGCATGAAAGCTGGCCGATTGCTGATTCTCAGTTTTGTCTGCAGAGTGTTGAAATTGATCTCCAGTTGACATTTCTCTTGGACTTTGGGAGGTTTGTGTTTGCGGCGGTAGTCACGGAAATCCTCTAATTTCTTCTGCATAGCCTGCATTGTTTTTTCTGGGGTCCTGTTTTCCAGCCAAGGAATTGTCCGGCGAATCCATTCTAAAAGCTTTCAAACCAACACCAACAATTGAAATAAAGGCAATGGAAAAGCAACCAAAAAACCAAAGATCATATTGAATCCACAAATCTTAATCAAGTTTGCTCCATTTTAATATTATTAACTTCAGTTGGTATCAGTCCATTAATGGCAAGTAAGCACAAGATGTTCAAAGCTGAACAATACTTTTAAAACTAATTTCTTTATATACTTGAGGTATTTCTAGAAATACCCTGATTTTCAGAAAGATGAACACACATGTAAGGAGTCTCTAGCTAATTACTCACAACCTGAGTTACCCAAAATCACTTGCCATTTTCAGAAGTATTGGTCTTCATGTCTCAAGAAGTCATAGTTATGAGATCAGGACAGACACCAGCCAAGTAACTCAGGTCATATAAAAATCTTCACTCAGAAGTGCATTAGTGCCAATGTAGCACTACTGTCTTTGTGTCTATGATCTCAGCATGTTTTTGCAGGTTATGCATTAAAGACAAAGGAGCTCTAACTTAAGCACTACACACCTGTAGTCCTGACTCAACAATTTTGCCACTCACCAAGAAGGACAGGAGGAGCTCAATGTGCCTCCTTCTTCACTGGCTTGCTGCCTGTGGTCACAGATGAATTGTGAACACCCTGACAGATCCTGTCCAGGTTTGCTTTGCAGTACACAAAGCCAACCGGCTTGCCTGGAGTGACAGGATCCTGTATGTTCCACAAGTGGTCAAGGATGGCTATCTTTGGAGATTATAGAGACAGCAAGCTTGGTCTTTGGGCAGACCGATGACAGTCCTCAAAACACCCTATTTGGCACATTCATAACACTGAGTGATTTGCTGGAGGTCACACAGGAAGTCTGTGGCAAAGGAGTCACCTGAACCTTGACATCTTGGGCAACTGAGCTTTGTACCCTACCACTGTGAGATTTATCCTCATAGTGTCTTTGCTTTGCTGTCCTGCAGAGAGTGCATGAATCTTTCAGCTTTCAGTATTTCATGAACATAATTATCACCACATTACAGATACAGCTGTCTTTACCTCACTTGCTAGTCTCTCATACTCTTCCATCAACCTCTCATTTTCCTGATTCACAGCAAGCACCTTACAGATCCGGTTAGCTGCAGTCTCAGCCTGTAAAACACAGCAAATAAACAGGACATATTCATAAACACATTCTGAGAAAGGCACAGGCTTGGAGAAAGAGAGAGAATGTAGCTGCTGCAAATAAAAATCACATTGTTTGATAGTTGTTCATTTGTGTTCCTAGGTTACTTAGATATATACTTACCCTCCTTCTGTAGTCCAGATTCCAATGGCCTGAATAAGGCACAGATTAGCACAGAAGTCTCCTTGTTGTACAATGAAGCCTTGTCATACAAGGGGGAATTTCACACTGCCATTATAATTGTCTAATACATATTTTATTTTCAAAGATGATTTAGGTTATACTTAAAGTTATCCTATTAGGTTATTTTTTTTAAATCACACAAAAAAGTATTAGATTTGTTAGCCACACTGGAAAAACACTGCATGTGATTCAGGAATCCCAGATAACTCTACATATGCACATCATATGTACATATACTCTTGAGAATATATGCAGCTGAACTGTCAGCAAATCTTTTCATGCCTCCTGACAAACGTATTTGTGAAGGCACTGCATAGCTCTGCCATATTTAAAATTTACATTAGTAGCTTGACATCACAGATCTATACTTTCATACAAATGTGAGTCTGGCGTATATCTAATCAAATAAATATCTATGTAGACTCCTTTGCATGAATAGCAAAATCTGCATACCCAGAAGCAACAGGGTGCAACAGCACAGCTGTGCTGTGATAAAGTGTAGGGGGCCTACTAGACAGGAAGGGAAATTAAATCCAGAGGATGAAGGAAAAATATTAACTACTTAAGGGTTCTTTTTTTTTTTTTTTTCCCCCACATAAACTGGGTTATGTCCATTTGTAGGCTAGAAATATATGAAGCAGAACAGTGGGAAATGCCACATTTGTAAGTGAGAATCCCATCCTATACAACAGATCTGCTGCTGATGTTCTTTCCATTTATACTAGGACATTGATCCACAAATAATTCCATTGGCTTCAGTGGGAAGCAAGCACAAACACTGTGTTGGATGTGTTCTGTGCCTTTCTGCATCTTTAGGTATCTTTGAAAACCTAGTCCTAAATTACTACTCAGCATGAGTAAGTCTCAAATAGTCTCAATCTCCAAAAGTCAAACATTCTTTTATGTAGCAAATGCATAAGAAGTTGACAACTCCACTTCACAGTACCTTCGAATACAGTTTTTCTAAAATAGTCTTTATAATCACCAGATAAAGACCCAAAATTAGAAATGGGAATGTCCATTGGAATTAAAGAAGGTCAACTTGCTACACAACATTTAACTAAAACAGGTTCCAGTATTGGTTAAAATCAAGTATTAGTGCTCAAGTAATACTTGCAATTGTTAATTAAAACCACAAAGTACTAAATTAGTTTGGTTTTTTTTAATAAACTAGTAGAAATGTGAAATAATCAATCAAAAACACAGCAGCCTGAAGGGACAGCTGATTAATACCTGCTCTGCTCCAGCAAAAGCATGGTAGAAGCAGGACACATATGTCATGATAGCTCTCTCATCAGGTTTGGGAGTGTTCACAATATCTACAAGAGGGTTGGAGAAATTAAAACAAAACAAAAAAAAATAATCGAGGAGTAGAAATGAATGAATGAATAAATAAAAGCACAACGTAATGTCATTCTGATTGTTTTATTGTCCATAGATCTGCACTCTAGAAACTCTACAAAGCTGTAATAAATTTAGTGTTAGACTGATGGGTAATGACAGAATAAAACGTACACTAGAAATTCAACATAAGCTGTTACAATGAGGTGGAATTTTTTTAATAAGCTTGATGCTGCAGTATTGTCACACAAGGATTGACCTTAATTTTACCAGGACTATCTGCTTAAGAACTGGCATGTATATGTCTGGTGACTCAGAATGTAGAGGTTTTTTGACTAAGACACAGGAAAGACAGACTAGATTTTTATCTAGGGAGATGTTCTCTGGAAGTTGCATGTGGATTAGTTATAAACTTAGCATTATATACCAGTATTCTTTGTACCTGAAGTATGTCCAACTCTGAACTGTCTTGCTTTTTAAAACTTTCCCTCTTTTCACTAGGACATGATTTCAGAGTTCTTCTGAGATATATCTGTATATGTTTCTGTATCTATTTTGCATAGTAGCAATAATTTATGTTGCTGTTTGTACTTACCTTTAAGCATTTAAGATTTAAAAAAAAAATCCTGAAAGTATAAGAGAAGGGTTTATTTTCTGAGCATGTTATGATGACTTTGACATCTGTAGCAGGAATAATATCCAGCAGGGAGAATAAAGATGGCATTCTGCTATTGAAATTGTTTTTTCACTATGAGCTTATTTTCATCTTGCATTTTTAAAGGTGTTTCAAATGAGTGCACATAAGTTCAGTTAAAGAGAATAACGTCTTCTATCCCATTCAGTAACCAGCTGTCAAAAACCTACTGGATATTATTAGTAAATATACAGAAAGATGAGACAGGAAGGTTTGTTTCTATGGAGTAAACGGATAGAGTACTACTGGCTCTACTGAGATGGCTCATAGAGAAAATCAGGCAACAGGAAATGAGCTCAGCACTAAGACAGTGTCCTAGTAACTAGCGCAGGAAAGATCAGAAGAGGAAAAATTTCTGAAAGAAACAAGACAGAAGGTGAAGGATGAGATCTGATCCATCTTCTACAATCTCACCTTCTGAGCACCAGCAAATGCATGGTAGTAACAGGAAACATAAGTCATAATGGCTCTTTCATCAGGTTTGGCAGTGTTTACTACATCTGTGTAGAGAGAAGAGGGTTAACTGCTCAGAAATTCTCACAAGGTACTTCCATCAGATTATGCTGATGATGCCACCTCAGTGCTGTAAGGATTCAAAATAAATATGCCATTATTCAGGTTGCATCTGTTTACTGACATTAGTGCAAAGCTACCCGAGCTTAGGAATCAGTAAATGGAAAAGATACAACTCTCCCTGAAATGGCAAAACCTCTGAAGGCTGAGACTGTACAGAAGGGTATTGCTACTGCTGGTTTGTGGAAACTTCAAAGCAGATGGCATGGCTGGCAGATCTACTGGGTTCAGCTTCACTGTCACTGCAAAGCAACTTCATCTAAATTGCTAGAATTATTCCAGAGTTAAACACAGCCACTGACAGTCACAAAATAGGAGTGAGCACAGTATATTAGCACAGGGTCCCCGTGACTAACAGGGTATTGACATATATTGGAAACCTGTAGAACTCCTGCAGTCCAGAAATAATTTTGTATTTATACTGTCCAAGAAAAGCTTGGAGCATAACAGTTTTGCAGTCCCTGCAGCAGTCTGTCTTCCTAGTTAATAGCATAAATCACAGAAGAGCTTGGCTTGGCTGACTGATAGCTTTGTCCCTATTCTGGCAGGAAAGACTGAAAGTATAGATAGGGTGCAATCAAGGTACGACTACATTGGTAAAAATTGAACTTTTCAATATTTAACAGAGAAAGGCAGAAAAAGGTGGTTTTACACCAAATATAGGTGAGTGATGAATGATGCTAGTGCAAGCTGCAAGGATTCTTGCCAATGTGGTGTGAAAAGACCCAGGAATTAGGCGACAATTTCTAATATTAACAGTAAGATTTCTAAGTTCAGGACCAATGTATTTACTGAGTTTGCATCTACTTTACACAGTTGTGAAGAAAAATTTGCAAAGTTTCCACTTTGCAAAGAGAGTACAGTGGAAGTAGACAGTAAAAACTGATGGTGAATACTACTAGGGTGATAGAAGAAACACGATTTCATTTCTCCTGCCCCTGCCAAGAAGGAGAATAGTAAGATAAGGGCTAGAATGTGCAGAAAATCTGGTGAGGAAAGAAAAAGGTTTCTTACTTTGCATGTGAAAAGAAAAAATGAGGAAAGGAGAATGATAGGAGGCAGTCGATGGCAAGGAGGTAGCACTTCTGTTTATTCCTTGCACAGTATTTCAGAGTAAAATACTTCAGTGGTGCTTGAAAGGGGAATTGCAATTAAAAAAATGAAAACAATTAGTTTTGAAGCATGAAGGTGAAACCAAGAAACGTCTCCAATGAAGAGGTTACAACCTGGACTTTCCAAATCATCCCATATTGGCCTAACTTTCCTAGCAAAGACTTCAAGGGGAGCAGACACAGTGAGTTTGAGTGCTTTGGATAATTCCTGTGTTATCACTGCTCTACTGACAAGCCACTCTGGAGCAGGGTCTGCATACTTAGAATAGAATGCCTTGAACTAGTGTAGGCAAATACCAGTATTTTGGCAACATTTTTTGCCTGGAGCACAGAAGTTTGTTCATCTTGACAAAATTCAGGAAACTTTAATAAATATTTCCTTGTTATTTGTCAACAAACTCTAAAGATTATAGGAGAAACCAAACACAAAACTATTTGTTAACTGCAAAGGTTTACAATGAAAATAAACAAACAAAAAAATGCCTCCCTCAACCTAGCTATCTTTCATAGGATGCATGTTGTTAGTATATTTTGAAATTTCTGTACTTCTGTTTCTATTTCTGGCCCTCTCACTTAAACATTTAAAAAAGTGAATATGCTTTAAGCTGATCACAGTTGTATTTCCCTTCACTATACTTAGATTTTAATTTCTTAAAGGCAAGGATTATCTTTTGATCCTGCATTTTACCTCATTTTTCACAGTGGAGCCATGTGCTGAGGTTAGGACACAAACTACTACAATAAATACAAACAATAAGGAATGAAGCAAAAAGTGAGTGAAATAATCCAATACATAGGCAACAAGAAGGAAAACATTGTTTGAAAACAAAGCAGATTGCTCCGTTATGATTCATGCAGAAAGAACATTGAAAATTTGCTAGAGAGAAATCAAAAAAAGTTTTACTGAGTCCTGCTTGTGAGTAACACAAACTTTAGTAATATATAACTCTCACCTTCTGCGTCCAACATCTTAGGGATATCCAAATGCTTTTCAGCAATTTCCATGGCAAGGTTAATATTTCCTATGGGGTCATCCTGCATTAAAGAAGAAAATACAATCAGTCAAAGATAGAAGTTTTTCCTTGAAGCAAGACTACAGCAGGTACACTGAAACTTATTCTGTTTTTCCAAACTGTAAACTGGAGTCACAACTACTGTTCTTCGGAAGAGTATAGGTATATGAACTTTTGGTCTATCTACTGCTATACTTTCAAAAGAAAACAATAATAAGCTATTATGTACCACTAGGACTCTGCTGCAAATATATTCTGGAGGGGAACATAGATAATATATGCAGCGTGCACTCATAATTCTGAGATAATTCTGAATGAAGTACAGCAGTAATCGTACAGTCAAGGCCACTGGTCCAGTAGGCTATACTAGACCATTCATCACGAAGTCCTGCATGGTTTTATACCTACTATATGTTAAATTAAAGTGGTATGAATTCTAGTGTGTTCTCTGTTGGTCAGGTGCATGCATAAGAAGAAGCAAGACAGACAGAAGCACAGTTCTCCAGAAGGAGCAAAACTTCCCACTCTTGGCTTGGACAGACAAATCTGTAATACCTCTAAAAATTGAATTTTAGAGCTATGAAAATTCAACAACTTCTTCTAGTTTTGAGATTTTGATTTCATTTTTGAAGGAAAGAGAAAGGAAGCAGTGAGCACAGTTTAGTTAAACTGCACGTATTTCATGTCTTATATTACAGATAGCTATTGCTGACAACGGAAAAGCATGTCATGATTGTGGTTACTCTTAAGGCAGCCTTTCTGTATCAGCTTGGAGAGAAAACACCCTGTGTGAAACAGCAGTTCATGCCATTAATGCTATGACTGTTTTCACATATTCGCAAACTGCTAAATGATCATAACCACACTGAATAATGCCAATGTCTACAGACAGAGGTTGGGAAAAGAGGACACAAAAAAGCCAAGTTAGAGATGCTGGAGGGCATTGAAATAATGTTAACAGGTTTTCTGTAGGGAATTTCCAGGAATTCCATTTGAATACAAACACTTCCTATAAAGGGATCTAGTCTCAAGTATGCTTCTTTTGTTACTTTGAAATGAACTTAGTAAGATTACTTACTATGGAATCACAGCAGTTATTTAAGTTTCACAGAGGTCTGTTTCTCATGCACATACATATGCCAGGTAGAATAAGTAGTAATGCTCATGACACATCTTTCTATAAATGCATCATAGTGGACAGCCTTTCATTAAAAAGCTGCATGTTCAATAAAATGTGTTATGAAGAACAGTTTGCATTTTGAAACATAACTATTTTGTGCATAATAGAATACAAAGTCTCTAATCATAAGTTCTCACTCTATCTTCATTTAGCAGTTTTGTTCATCATTGACATTAATTAAGAGAAACTTAAAATGTGGACAATATTTAAAACCCATAAATTTGTTTTTGCTATTCCACAAGACACCATATATAATACAACATTTACTAAATGTGTACACAAAAACTCTTACTGAAATGAAACGGGACAAAAATACACTAAATCTAAGTGAGACCTATTGACTGGGTTAAAACACTTTGCTTATGGATGTGTGATGAGCATCTCCTATTTGTGTGCTTCGTACTAAGTCCATGAGTAAATAGTGCTCCACTGATAAAGGATTTGTTTAAAGTCATAGCAACTTCTGAATAATTGGAGGAGATCTCCATCACCCATCCTTTTAAACAAAATGACAAGCCATAGCAACTACAAATCTCTGCTACAGCTAAAGAAATACCTCATCTAACTTGTCATAGTCAAGAAGATCAGGCCTGTGTCTATGGATAAGGGCGTTGAAAGCAAGGCCATCTTTCCAGCTACAAGTTCACACAAAACATATTGGTGAGAAAAGGAAAAGACAGCATGCAGGAGATAAGAAACCAAGAAACAAGACACCAAGACAGCTGTTAATGTAACCAAAATGAGCAGTCAATCAAACACAGGCAGGCCAGAAAAGCAGGATCTATTTTAGGATTTTTCTGCATGTGCTTTACGTGCCACAGCTCAGCCTCAGTTTGAAACCTGACCTATTCTTATTTTGGAAACTTCTAAGAGGGAAATAGTAATGCTGAAGCAGATCTGCTTACGTTCTATTCCCTTTTCTCAGCACTCATATATAGGATGGTTAGACTGTGAAGTTTTTTAGCACTGTGTACCACTTTTCAAAGCACAAACTCAATCAAAATAACTTCTGTTTGTGCCATGCTTAAGCACATGTACACAGAGACAGGTAGCTTAGTCATTCCATGAATCTGTTTGTTCATAGGAAAGGTTGCATATAGAATTAGAGAACAAGCTGGTGTTGATGTTTAATATTTTGCCCTTTGGTTCAGATCTGCAGTTCTCTTAACAGATGCCTAAATTAAAATCTTAAATGTTTAGGAATAACTTAGCTCAATTTTCATCACTGCACACCTTGGGGACCCCAGCATCAATATGACATATATATATATAAATATATAT